GGGCTATTGAACTGCCAGCCCATATTTGCCTAGGACTCCAATAACCAGGAAATTATTCTTTCTTATTATCCAGCTGAATAAAAAGATAAATGAGCTTATTTGAGTAGTAATTAGAGGATATAGAACAAATGTTACAATCTTATAGTGTGCTTACTTTTAAACACACACACATGGTTTCCTTTTATCTCCTTTTCTTCCTTTTGTAGGTTATTTTCATTATTCCAACTAGAAGAAGAAAAAAGTTACATATATAGGCCTAAATAATATTTCTAAAGTTTATAGGATGTTTATCAGCATCCCTAACCTCCACGCATCTGTGACCCATTTGTGACAGCCAAAAACATCTCCAAACACTGCCAGTGTCCTCCAGAAAGACAAAAGTCATCCTGATTGAAAACCACTGAGTTAAAATAGAATCTTTTGGCATAATAGACAGAAATATTTTATCTCCCTAAGAATCTTAATACTAACAGGAAATTTAAAGAAAATAAAATCACTCCTGTTTGTGACAATGAAGCAGAATAATCAGGATCAAATTTAAAAGGGGCATCCATCCTCCTTACCTTTTGCTTTATTGCAGGTAAATGAAGCCTATCCAACTCCACATGCTTTTACAACTCTAGTGAGCTTTAAAAGCATCTTATATGAGTCAAAAGAACAACATGTGTTTTCATTTTGTGTGACCTCATATTTTGTTTACCACAAAGCAGTAGATCAATAGTTATGTGCCCAGAAACTACTTTTCAATCGTGTTATAGAGTACAAAATCATGGAGAAATCAATTTCTCCTTCCTGTCTCAGGATACTGGGTGCCCTACTGCTCGTAGTGACAGTAGTGTAAACTTTTTATTTATGCTCTCTAAACTTCGAACATTTGGAAGTAAATAATAACAAGTTCACAATGATTGAAACTGCTTTGTCTTCATTTCCACGGTTACTAGCAAGTTATTAAGTTCACATATGTGAAATTGCTGAATGAGCAGTTATGAAGCAAGTTGCACAGATATGTATCCTTTGGAAATTTGCTACTTAAAATTTGTACATCAGAACAAACATCTCATTTGTACATAGTTTTGAAAATAGTAAGAAAATAAAGACAGTATGTTGAAAAATAAGAATCCTGGAATCTAGCTGTTTTCCATCTATTTTATTGAGAGTTCTATCAAACTACTTAATAATGAATTTGTTTTTAGTACCTTCCACGTGACAAGTAATTTGTGACATTTTCATATTTGAAGTCAAGTTAATAGCAGTGTTTCATATTTGTTATTTGAGCTTTTGTCTTTTCATCCATGTGGCCTATTAAAACCTGTATTGTGCTGGCAGAGTGGCTGAAGTGCTAAGAGTGCCTGCCTAGCAAGCATGAAGCACTGAGTTCAAACCCCAGTGCCGCCAAAAAAACAAAAACAAAAACAAAACCCCTGTATTATGAATGGTTCTATTTTAGCTTCTGCTTCTTTTGCTGTAGGAAATACTTTACTGGGATATCGAAAAATTAACATTGTAATTGTAAACTATTTAGAAAATAAGATTGAGATTACTATATGTCTGCATTTCTTGTCATATAGCCAGAATGATAGTCCAAGAAAAAAATCATAAACTCAGATTTTGGTGATTATTAACTGGGAATGATTAAACAAGCCTACTAGCCAATTCAAGAGTTATAAAAATAGGGCCAGAGCCATTGTTCAAGCAGGTAGAGTGCCTGCCTATCAAATGTGAGGTTCAACCACTGTAATGCCAAAAAAGAGTTATAAAGATAAGAAAAAAATATAGCCAGGCATGGTGGCACATGCCTATAATCCCAGCACTCAGGAGGCTAAGGCAGGAGGATCATGAGTTTGATACCCTGTCTCAAAACAAACAACAAGAGGAAACAAGAATAATGACCACAGAAGTAAGGACTTAACAAATGTATATACTATTGATGAATCAGAAAACAGAAAGAATAGAATTGAAAACTAGATCAGTGATCTTGTTCTTTGCTTAAGTTATAATATAAACAAGCAAAATTCTGGCAAGTTCAATGCAAAATGAGAATAATTAATACATATACTGAAAACATAAGCATAGCAACAAATGGAGATATTTTATGGAAAATATTCCGGAAAGTCCATGAGAATATTGGAATATCTTAGCAAAATAAATATTTTCTTGGAAATTATAAGTAGCCAGAATGGACTTAGAAAAAACTTGAAGTGATAATGCAAGAAATGAATAATTTCTAGGAACTCTTCCTAGACAATATACATGGTCTGATTCTTTATTTTTTATGCATTGTATTTCTTTCTTTGATGGTACTGGTATTTGAACTGAGGGCCTCATGCTTGCTAGGCAGTATTTCTTAACATAGAAAATGTCAGAAATTTTTCTCTATAATTTTCAAGATGATATTGTAAGGGCCAGGAGGGAAAACACCTCAAAAATCAGCACTTGAAAAGGAACCTACATGATATTCTTCTAGGAAAATAAACTTTTAAAATCCTAAGGGAAAAGCCAGCAATTAATTACAGCAGCATGCTAAAAATAAATATAAAAACATAGTTTATCTAAGGGTTGAATATAATACACCAAATGGTAAAACCTTATGATCATAATTATAGATAATGAAAAGACAGTTGATAAAATACAATATCAGTTTTTGGTAATTAGAGAAGGATACCTTTATCACTGAAACATCATTTTTTTAAAAAGCATTTTTGTTAGCATGTGTTAGTTGTGCAGGGGAATTTCATTATGACATTTTCATATATGTATCTTGGTTAGGTTCACCCCCACCATCATTCTCCCTCATTACCCTCCCCCCACTTAAAATGATTCCAACAAGTTTAATTGTTTTATTTTCATACTAACATATAAAGTACATCAACCATATTCACCCTCCTTCACCCTTTCCGTTTCCCCTCCTCCTTCCACTAATACCTACTTCCATCAGGACCCGTGAAACATCATTTTTAAAGGAACTCATCAGACTTTGTGGTATAGCAGCCTTTCCATTAGAACAAAGAAGAAAAGGGTCCACGTTATATCCCCACCATTACAGCATCCTGTTCTAATAGTGTTTAAAACAACAAGAACAAGAATAGTAACATCACACAAGAATACACAAAAAGATTTAAGCTAAAGAATTGTGCTCCAATTATTAAAATACTAACACTAGCTATTTATGTTGATAGTAGCATGTATGTTTTCTACTTTCCCTTTTTTGCTTCTCTGTATTTTCTTTTTAGTTTTTTGTGTAGGGGGTTTCATTGTGACATTTCCATATATGATTACAATGTGCTTCTCTGTATTTTCTATACAGAACTTTTATTGCTGTTTTTTTCTATCGTTTTTTTTAAATGAGGCAACAATCATTAAAAAGACCACAATTGAAAAGGGAAAGATTTTATTATCCTTTCAAATGAATGGCTCACATTGAAAGTTTTACTGTCTTCAATGCTAGTTACATAGATGGCTAAATAAAAGCATATGGAGAAATTTGTCATTTTTATGAAATGCAAGATTAAAGAAAAGTTGAATCAGATTTCTATATCCCTAACATGGCTTTGTTCCTTGACACAAATAAAATGTTTGTTAAATCTCTATCTGTGTATATTGACTTTTCTTTCCCAAGATAACTTCATCTAGTCTGACTTTTTTTTCAGGGAGAGAGTAGTTAAGTGAGCTCTTCCTTTTAGGAAATTTCCATTGCACCTAACAGTGACAGAGCTAGAATCGCCAGGCTGACTTGGCTGCCTCTCCCTCTAGGACAGCTTTTTCTGACTCAGTGTCCTTGCAACCAAGGTTGAAGACGATGAGAAAAGGGTTCTGTGGGTGGGTTTGGCTAACAGAAATGGGTCATCTTCAGTAAAATCCCAGCCTTACTAGGAGGGGAAAATGATACATATCTCAAGGCGCTGTAGAAGGTCCTTTGATATCTTCCTTGCTGCTGCATAAAATTCCAAATTTCCTAGTTCACATCAGGGTCACCCAATCTAATTTTTCCATGCATGACTTTTGAGAAAGGAGGTGGAATTTGGGGACTGAATTCATGAAGAGGCAGCATGGGAGACAGGAAAGCCCTAGCATGGAGCCCTGGGGGCTTCCCTTGGCATCATTGGTGGGATGCCCAGCAGCAGAGAGTCTTTTACACTCATTATCTTAAATCTCGGAGCATCTTTGGGTTTTGTTAGAATTTCAGTTTTGACCTATGAGGACCAGAAATGCCTACGAGGCTTAGGGTGGTGGAGATGGGGTTCCAGTGTTAGTCAGTCTAGCTGGGAAAGGGACAGCCAATTCAAGACATTGCTGCCAATGACTAACACTGGCTCAAGGGTCACATATATCTAGTGGCTACCATATTGGGGAGCACAACATTCTTATGATCATGAAATAGTCCACTGGGCAGCGCTGCTCCGTATCATTAATTCTGATTTTAGACAACTGTCAGATGTCAGGGCTAAACAAACACATCCCCTTGTTCGAAGTGGAAGCTGTCCTAGGGTGTTTACCTGCCAAGGTGAGACTCGGGTGAGGACATTCTGGGATGGGCCTTCTTTGTTCACCAGAGATAGAAAGCAGTGATATTGGTCCCCTAAATTATGATAGCCTATTTTGAACCAGACAATTTAGTCCCCAAAGATGGAAAGTTTATGCCAAGGAAAACCTCTAGAGAGGATTCAAATCTTGCTACCATGTGCTTAACCAGACAACTGCAGGGGGTGGGGTAGAGGAAGGATTCTGATTATGTCAGCAGAGGAAACATTCTTTTGAGGTAGAGTTTGGAAAAAAACCAACTAATCTGTTTTCCAAACAGATTTTCATAAATAACTGACAGGACACGGTCTGCTCTATGGAAGTATTAACCCAAGAGATGGATGTTAATTATTAAACGTTTCAGATGGTGGCTAGCTGATTTCTCTGATATTCTAATCCGGGTCACAGAATGGCTAAGGCAGCTTTAAGTGGAGGGTGGATTTTTTTTTCTCAGTTTGTCTTCTGTTTGCGACTCTGAAAGAATGCTGTGGCCACTCTTTTTCCTGGTGAATTCTATTCATGCTGAACTCTGTCAACCAGGTATGCCACCTTGAAATTTAAAAATAGATTAACTGTTTCTAAATGATTGACAAGTCATTGACTGAAGAAACTCTATTTTTTTAAATCTGCAGACGTGTTGTGGCTTGAAAGTTGAGCCTGTGACTCTTTTGAGTTTGAAAGAAAAATTTAAGCCATGTAATGTGATTTCCATCAAACTTTCAGGAGTATTTAGGTCTGTTTACCTGTAGTTCCATGTTCGTTGATTTGAGTTGCATTAAATAGGATTTTTCAAGCTCTGTTTTTGCAGATTTTGTCATCATTTACTGCTCTATTTTTTTTCTTTCTGGCAGATGCAGAAAATGCCTTTAAAGTGAGACTTAGTATCAGAACAGCTCTTGGAGATAAAGCAGTAAGTGGAGCACCTGCATGTTCACTTTAAATTTTGTTTGCTAATAACACTGTGCTTTCTCTAATAATGGACATTTCTGCAAAGTAATCTTAATCTTGAGTACATTATTTCAAAGGACTCCAAGTGTGATCTTAAAGATAGATTATAGTAAAACAGAAATGGTTGATAAAATGAGTTTGCTTAAAGTACTTGATCTGAAGTGTATGCTTAAAAATATGTGAAGTTTTGTTTGTACTATACCAAACAATTTAGAAAACTTGAAACTTTCACCCAGCATGGAGCAAAGGGGCCTGAGGCAGACACTCAGCTGTGCATTGGATCTGCCCCTCACTGTTTAAATCTCTTGAATTCTGTCTGCCAGTTTTCTAGTCATCAAAAAATAAGGAATGGTACTACCTACATAAAGACTTTCAGGATACAAAAAGTTTCCAATTTTAACATAAAGTCATAATTCCTCTCAATTATCAAAGTGACAATATAAAATATATGCTTATAAAATAGAAGTTAAAAAATATTCACAGAGCCCATGTGGGTATAGAAACAGTAAAGACTATTGAATAAATAAGAGCGTGTTATCTAATTCTAGTTTCGGTTTCTCAGTATGTGATATTAAGATGCTTTAAGCTAGAAACAAGCAAACAAAAACCCAGAGTGCTAAAGAAATTCAGAGGTATTCCATTTCCTGGCCAATCTATCAGTGTGTTTTGTTTTTTGGCAGCACTGGCGTTTGAACTTAAGGCCTTGAGCTTGCTAGTCAGGCACTCTACCACTTGAGCCAAACCCCAGCCTCACCACTGCATAATTTTATTATTTACTTGATCATTAATAATTGCTACAACAGCCAGTATTTATTAGGAACATAGTTTACTTTCTAGTGGGAACCCTTCTAAGCACTTTACTCCTATTAGCTCATTTAGCCCTTACAACAACCCTCTGAGTACAGGTATTCCTAGTCCCATTGAATGGGTGAGAAAATCAAGGTGCAAATAAATTAAGTGACACTTTCAAGATCTCAAGCCAGGAAGTAGTGAACGTAAGATCTGAACCCAGGCAATCTGACTTCAGAATCTACACTCATTTGTGTGTAGGGTTTCTTATCCCAGGGTACTCAGAGTAGGCTGGATGCTGGGGTTGTAATGGTAGCTAAAATCAGTCTTATTCTTGCCCTGTGAAACTTAAAGTAGTGGGAGAATCCATTGTTGATTAAATATTCAGTAAGCTGAATGCAAATGTGCAATCTTGACAAATATTATAGGAAGGAGAAGTATGAGGGGACTTTGGCCTTGTCAGGATCTTCAGTACCTAGCAGTTCTGTAAGATCTAAACATGAAGAAGTGATCCAGAGGCTAGAAGAAGGAAAGGCAGAGGGAACAGCACATGCAAAGGCTTATCACAGGAAGGAGCTTGGTGAGTGTGAAGGAAGATTGAGGTGTTTGGGATTGGGGCAGTGAGGAGGAGCATGGTGCCCGATGGTCCTGGAGAGAAAGGGTAAGGCCAGGGAATATGTGGGCTGTGTTAGAGGGTTTTTCATGATGAGGTGTTCCTGAGCATTGAATGCTCTTAAGAGGTCAAGCAAGATGGAGAGAGACATATGCATTGTGTTAGGCAACGTGAAAATCAATGGAAACTTTAAAAAGAGCTGTTTTTGTGAAGTGACAGAGTTGGAAGGCCATATTGGAGGGGGTTAAAAATAAATGGGTGGTAGGGCTGAGAGAATGGCTCAAGTGCTAGAGCACCCATCTAGTAAGCGCAAAGCCCTGAATTCAAACCCCAGAACTACCAAAGTAAATAAGTAAAAAAATAAATGAATAGGTGGTAAACATGTAGAAACAGAAGTATGGACAACTTCTTTGAAAATTTTGGCTGGGAAGGGTAAAAGAGAGATAGCAATAGGTGAATGGCAGAAAGATTGAGTAAAGTCATTTATTTTTCCTGTTGTTTTAATGGGAAAAACTTGAGCATGCTTTAAAGTCAGTGGACAAGCTCTGTGCAGATTTGAATACACAGAAGAGAGAGGAGAAACTGATATTGTTTAGATCCTGAGGAGGATAGAGGAGAAGCATTCCTAACAGAGGTGGGGGGCGCTTAACCATTAACAGGACAGAAACAAGCATGTCTGGCACTTCAGGAGAGGAAATGGATTCGATGTGTGTCTATGGAGGAAGTTTTGTATTTTGGTGTCAAGAGGTTAAGGGAGTTTAAATTTATGACTTGAAAAGTATCTATAAATTATAAAGCAAGCACATCTAGTGAGAGGGAGGTATGAGGGAAAGCATTATAACTTAGGTGGTCTTAGGAGGTTTAAAATAGTCCTGTGACCCATGAGAGAGAGAACTGATGGAGAAACCTAAGGGTTTCCCAGGCAATTTGGAGGTAGGGCACAATGAATTTAAAGCTAAACCAACAAGCCCTGTTTCATGACTTTCTTCAGTTATGTTTGATTACTCAGCTAAAATGTGGAGTTAGCCCTGGATTGAGTCCTTAGATGCATGCAAAAAGCAGGGTGAGCTGGGGGCATTTAGAGCTTTGGCACAAGTGGTACTGAAATGAGGAACTAAGGAATCTGAACTGATGGATAAATAAATACAAGTGATATGCTCCATGTGGTCTGTGGAGTCACATGTGGTATATAAAACTGTGTTCAGTTTCACACATTTACTGAGTACCTACATGTCAAGTATACACAAAACAGATATTGAAGCTGCTACAAATATTCTTGTACATATTTTTTCCATGTGCTTTTTTTTGGAGGGGGTTATGGTATTTATCCAGGCGTGGAATTGTGGGTCAGAAAGTACATATATGTTTAGCTTTCTTATGATGGTGCTTGATTCCTTTTATGCCTGGAGACTCTCTATGAAACATTTTGAATGACTTAATAGAAATATGCCATGACCAATGTACAAGCTTTCAGTCCTTTCACATTTACTCAAGATAGGTTGGTTTCATTGGCACAGAGCTTTGCTCTGTGACCCAAACTGCACTTTACTAAACCTGTTGATGCTCTGGTTTTTGAGGGACCAATGAAAGGTTAGGAGATGAGGTCAAATCATCTCCAAGATCCAAAAACAAATTTAAATTCATGCTCTGGCAAGTTCTGGTTAGCATCTGCATTTGCATTTTCTATCTGACATTATCATTCTCATTTATACTTGAGCAGGCATATTCCTCATCTCTAAATTCTGGTAAGAAGCCTTTCCTGTCTGAATAGTATTTCTATGCTATTTTTAACTGGACCAATGTTTTTATGTTTCATGTTCATTTATTGTATTGTCCTCTAACTACTCTATCCTGGATAAAACTGATTTTGGAAATGCATTATTAAAAATTAGGGGCTATGCTATGAAGCAGTTAACTATTTTTAAACATTCAACTTTAAACTTTTTATACTATAAAATGAAAAGTAACTTTAAAAGACTGAAAGAAGGTAGCTGGGCATAGTGGTGCATGACTATAGTCCTAGCACTTCCAAGGCTGAGGTAGGAAGATTGCTTAAGTCTGGGAGTTTGAGATCAGCCTGGGTAACATAATGAAACTCTGTCTCAAAAAAAGAGATGGAGTTTTTCCTTCTTGAAGGCATTTTGCTATAGTTATGTAGGATAGGAGTGAAAGAGAAAAGGGTGAAGTAGGAAAAGTGATTGAATAAAGTTTAAAAATATATTGTGAAAATATTTAGGGAAAAAAAGAAGAGGTAAGACTTTAAACCTTCTCATCTAGAGAAGGTAACTAAGTGAGGCATATTTTGTTGGTTAGGATCATCAATTTTTGTTTACTATCCAACCCGCAGAGGAGAACAACTGTGACTATAAAATCTGTTTTCTACTGCAGAGTGAAAACCAAATCTTGACAGTGTTCCGGTGGTGTGACAACTCCTCCTAAATCAGCTCCTCCCTCCCCTCAGCCCTTCTGCTTTCTCTTCTTCCCTCCGTGCTTCAGTTGCACGGGCTTCTTTGGTGGTCCCTAAACATGCCAGGATCCTCTTACTTCGAATTCCACCTTTGCTGTATGAAGGAGCACAATGAGTCAAATACAGTGCATTAGTTTGCTAGGGCTGCTGTAATAAAGTAACACAAACCCAGGGACTTCACCACAGAAATTTATTTTCTTTTGGTTCTGGATACTAGAAGTTCGAGATCAAGGTGTCAGCACAGTTGGTTTCGTCTGAGGGCCATGCGAAAACAATCTAGTCCGGGCCTTTCTCCTTGACTCACAGATGGCCACTTTCTCCTTAAGTCTTCACATTGCCTTGCCTCTATATGACTATGTGTTCAAATTTCCTCTTCTAGGGACGCCAATCATATTGGATTAGGGACCACCCTAACAACCTCATTTTAAACTTAATCATCTCCATAAAAACACTATCTCCAATTATGGTTACATTCTGAGGTATTGGGATTTAAGACTTCAACATAAATGTTTTTTGGCAGGGAGAGGGATATAATTCAGCCCATAATATGCACACACACTTAAGTTTCCAGCTAAGAAAATTAAAAGGATGTTAATTAAGGAAAGGAAACTGGGAGGGAAAGTCAGTTTATGAGGGAATATGTGGCCAAGATGAATTGTATAAATGCCCAATTTGTTGATTAGCTACTGGCATTGCAGCTTCTAAGGAAGAGAGATAGAGATAGAGAGAGAGACAAAGAGAGAATGATTGAGCACACCACTTAATTGACTGTTTTTTTACCCCATTTTCTACATTTTCTATTTTCCTTCTCTTTCAGTATGTCTGGGATACAAATGAAGAATATCTCTTCAGAGCAATGGTGGCTTTCTCCATGAGGAAAGTTCCCAACAGAGAAACAAAGAGTAAGCAAACAGTTCGAAATCTCCTCTGATTATTTGCAATATTAAAACAGTACATTATTGTGAACCTTAACCTTGAAAATAATTTATTAACCAAAAATTTTAAGAGATCCACACTTTTATTGAACCTTTAAATTTTTTTGCAATGTAGTTTAGCCTGCAGCTTATATTATGTTCCCACAATGCCGTGTGTTCAATAGGCAATATGAAGATAAATAACCTCCAAAATTGTAGTTGTATGTCCTGAGATTTCCACATTTCTATTGCACACATACAATTTTTCTTGTAGAGAGATAGCTACTAAAGAACTCTAATCTTATTTTGAAAATAACCTAAGTAGGTATAAGTTATTTCCACATCGGTATCTATCATAGTACCTTGTTAATTTAAAATATACATATATGCACACACGGATACGTATATCATGCGTTTGTTTTGCTTTTTCAAAAATCTACTCTTCTGTTTTATTCTTTATAATCACAGCCCTTGCATCAGCTATTGTGAGTTTGAGGAAAGCTCATTAATATTTCATCAGTTTGAGACCTGGCAATACTACTATCAGGGAGATGAGTGAGGAGCAGGATGTGTTTAAAATGCAGTTCAAGTGCTGGCCTGGATTCTGCATGTATTGCATAAAGGAGGCTGCATCCCTAGGTGCACAGGTTTCTGCTTCAGGAAAGGGAGCCACACAATGCAAGATAGGATTGAAAACCACTTTGCATGGAGCTGCCTCTCTGGAGTGTAGTAGATGGATAGAAGACACTAGTAACTTGGTATATTGGTTAGTTTAAAAACCTCCTGACTTTCAGAGATCTCTTGGTGCCAATATAGGCAGAATGCATTCTGGAGTGTGGCAAATATCCTTTCTAGGATGGCTTCAGGAATCTAAATCCTCTTTATTATTGGCTCTTTATTATTTTTTCTCTCTCATTGATTATCCCAACATTGCAGAAGACCTTGAAGATGCTATGAAGCACAAAAAGTAAAACTTTTCTCATGAATCGAAAATAAAGATTTTCAAGTAATTAGCAAATTGACGAATACCCTCATTTCATCCCACCTTTGACCCTGTCTTCACTACAATATCTCTTCTCTCAAGTTTGGGCACCACCAATCATACAGAGCTCATTAACTCTCGAGGTTGCCTCTTTGTGTTTGGAAACCTACTATTGGCAAATACTTGTAGCATGACCTTGATTGTCTAAGAGAAAGAACATGACTTCTAAAGGGAGGTCTTAGCTGCATCCTTGTAAGACTTGCTGGAGAGCTGACCTAGTCAGGTCACTGTCACCCCAGGTAGACAGTGGAAGAGAAGCCAGGGACTCCCTAAAAAGTCAGAGAGGCTGAGAGTTGGTGCCTACAGTGAGGGTCATAGCACTTCCACTCCTTTCCTCACAAGGCAGGGATGGGAATGGCTTGTTGTGCAGCCATCTGGGCTGCGCACTGCTGGGTCCATGCAGATTAGCTGGTGCCCCTTCTGTACTAGTGATTATGTGCTTTGAGTGATCCTCTTGCTCATTTTTCTACCTACCTCAAGTGAGGTAGAGAACTGCTCATACAGGGTACACTTGTCTATAAAAAGGGTGGCTGGGGAGCATAGTTGGATGTTCCCCAGCTCGTAGACATTCTCAGACCTCCTTCAAGTTGCCACCAGAATAGCAGAATGGCTAGGGTTCCAAAGAATGGATGGTGTCCCCAGTCACAGTGTACCATGGGACAGAAACTAGTGATAGCCTGTCAGCTGGAGAAGTCTAGGTAGAAGGCTGGCTTGAGCTGCCTGTGATTGGGGTGAGTGAGAGAGGGCGGTTCTCTAACTAGTCTGTACCCGAATACATTCCCGAGGCCAAGGGGAGTCTTCTATGACAACAGGATGGAGTCACTGCCTGTTGGCTGAGAGCTAAGTGCAGAGCAAGCAAGGTGGTGGAATGAGGCTGGAGGTGTACCACTGGAGGCAGAGCCAAGACTGACAGAAGTCAGTCAGAGTGCATCACTCATATCAGGGGAAGATGCAGCGCAGAGGTCCCCAGAGGGGCCTCCAACAGCCCCTCAGGAGCACTCTGAACACAGAGCGTCTGGGCACCTGCACAACCAAGGACCACTAACAGCAAGGGGGAACCAGAGGGCTCTAACCAAGGACAAGAACTTCGCCTTTTCTCATCTGTCTGATCCCTCCATCTCCTTTTCCATCTAAGGATGAGCAAGAATGAAGCATGGGGTAGGGCAGGGTGCATGGGGCGCAAATGCAGCACAGAGGGCAAAAGGCTGGAGCCCACCATTTGGGGCCCCACTAGGGTCAGACAGCTGGAAGGAGAGCAGTTGCATGTCAGAGGCAGGAGAGCAGTGTGACTAGACTGGCAGGTACTCTGTAGTAGCCAGAAGTGACTGAAGGCTCCACTACCTGTCCCAGATGCTGTCAGAAGTGAGGAGGAAGGAGCTGACAGAGCGACCAAGGCAACGGTGTGAGGACCATAAGTGTCTTCCTCCATTGTGCTCTATGCAGTCAACCTGTGGAGCTGCATTGTCTGTGATTGGAGCCACAGATTTGAGTAACTTGTATTGAAAGCCTGCTATGTGTTGTGTCTTCCTCCATGGTAGTCTACATGGTCAGATGTACACAATTCATTAACCTATACTGAAAGCCTGCTGTGTGCTGGACACTAAAATTAGAATGATGGATAAACCAGGCTCACACAGCCCTGGCCCCACATTCATGTACCTGACTTTGGGAGACATTATAGAAAGATGGACTTGTGTGACAGAAACAAAGCAATTCTTTAAAAAAATATTGTTTATAAATCATAACAAATGATTTTATTGCTACTTGTGGAATTTTCTTAGAAGCAAAATGGAAGATGGAAAGAAAAATGAATTTAAGAGAAAGCTCTGGTTGCATTAGAATAGGTTACTTGAGATTTTTCTTGGAAGCTGGACTGAAGATAGCAATTAGGTGTTTTCCACTATTTACAAACATGATTCAGGCTAGATTTAGTAAAATAGTGTCACAGGAATTTTAAAATGTTCCAAGTAGTTTTTTAAAAAGCTATGATCTAACTTTGAAGTTCAGTCTACTTCCCAGAAAAACTGAAAAGTTTACTACAATTTTGGCCTTTAGATAATTTACCACTTTGAGCAAGACAGGTAGAAGCCTATGTCAGGCAGGGCTTTCTCTTTCCAAGTTAAATAGTGTAGGGCATGTAATGGATTTCTTCCTCTGCTTAATTATTCAAGGGTAAGTCTTGTGATCTAAAAAGGAACAATGTACTCTTGTATCTACAATAAGGTAAGGGGATTAATGGTCTTGTGCTTATAAAACAGCAGCCCAGCTCCCAGCATTTAGTTGATTCCCAGAAACAAGAGTCTGATTCTTACTACTCCTTGGTTACCATTGGCATGTCTGGCCCTATTGATGAGAGAAGGCAGTGGAGCCAATTCTTAGAGAATTAGCATCAGGGCTAAGCATAGGCTTCCTATACCTGAGGAAAGGGAGGGACCATGTTTACTTCTTTTTAGTGATTTGCTTAAAGAAGCCACTAGTGTATGTGTTAATAGAATTTTTTAGTAAAAAAACATTGGTTAACATGATTATTAAAGTGAACTCAAACAATTCCACTAGACAGTCTATATTTAATGTTTTTGGAGGGGATACTAGAGATTGAACCCAGGGCTTTGTGAATGCTAGGCAAGTGGCTCTACCAACTTGAGCTATGCCTCTCAGCCCCTTTGTTTTTGAAACAGGATCTTATGCTACCTTTTGCCCAGGCTAGACTCAGACTTGGGATCCTCCTGCCTCTGACCCACTACATGCATGACCCACAACATATCTGGCTCCATCCATATTTAAAATCCTAAAAATGTAATATTTGCATTTAGTTGTGCTAATGGCATTTTGGTTTACTTATTACCTCAAAACACATTTTTGTTGTTTTTGGTGCTGGAGATTGAACCCAGAGCTTCATAAATGCTAAAATGTGTTCTAAACTGAGCTATATTCCTGGCCCTAAAGTACACTTTAAAAGACATGTTTTACCTGGCTCAGATAGACAAAAGCCACATGTTTTCTTTCATATGCGGAAGATAGATCCAAAAGATAAATGCATGCACAAAACCAAACATGATCATATACTCATCTAATGTGGAACGTGTTTGTAATAGTGAAACTACACAATGGAACTCGATGGAGGAGGGAAAGGAAAAGAGAATGATAGCCAACAATGTCGAAATAATTCGCGTATGTGCAGGTAGAGGACATAACTGAAAGCTGCTGAATAATAGGGAGTGGGAATGAAGGAGTAAGGGAGAGAAACAAGGGGTTGAACTGACCAAAGTAAAGCATATTTACAGTGGGGATACATTGAGAAATCCCATTGAGCATTGACTTTGGGATTAATAATGAAAGACAAGACTGTAAAATGGGTATGGTGTGTGGGAGGGGACTTGTGTGTGGAGTGAATGGAGGAGATGAAGATGAAGGAATAGGGTGGATGAGCTTCATATACATAGAGGAAATAGAATAATGAACAAAAAACAACCCCCCCAAATAAAAGACATGTTTAATTCAGTAAGTCATTTTCCATTCTATGTAAATCTTAGAGGACATTCAGTGTGGTCACATTTGGAAGAAAGACTAGGGTGAAGTCACTCTAGTTGTACATAGTCTGTAATTGGAAGGAAGTAGTGTTCTTTGATTTTTTAATCAATTAACTACTGAACTTCTACAATAATTCTTTATGTTACTTCCTTTTTATTTATGTATTTTTATTTACGTATTTATTTATGTATGTATTTTTTCAGTGGTCCCCAACTCAGGGCCTCATGCTTGTGAGGCAGGTGCTCTACTACTTGAACCACACCTCCAAATCTTAAAGACAATTTTACTGTTTCTTTTTTTCTTCCCCTTTTAAACAACTGCTTTGCTCCTGAATTGTGTGTGTGTGTGTATTTAATTTGGAAATATTTTATTTCTAAAAGTGAGGGAGAGATAAAAGAGGTCCTGTGTACCAATGGTTC